AATACATTGCGCATTTCTGTCGCAATGAAAAATTTGGGCCACCTAGAAGTATTCATATTAAAACTCACTTTAAACGATTTATATGATACAGTTTTGTGCACAATAAAATTCTTAACTTTTTAACTTTATATATCGTATGATATACGCACGATATAAACACAACGGTATGTTCACGCACATGGTAGCTCCAGACAACCAATCAGAAATACATTCTGCGTTATCATTAAACGACAAATTTGAAGTTTACTTACTGTTGATCCTTATCTAATTTATTTTTAAAGAATAAGGTATAAATCGCCACATGCACACTTTAATATGCACGTTTACAATTCACATTTATATCTCGGTAAGGGAGAATCGTATGTTGTGCCAGCCGAGCACTTCGAAAGTAGCCAAATTTGTACGATTGTGTGGCAAGTTGGTTGCAATGCTACTGCTAATCCACGTGATGAACGTACCCTTGTTTTGATTTATTATTATGGGTACAAGTGCATTTTAATATTCATTTTTTTTACACATTTCGTTAAAAAATATAAAGAAGTGTACACTGTGAATTTGTCAAATTATATTATTGTTTATAAAACGAGCGTAACAGATATATAAGTAGGTTACACACACACAATGCGTATTTTAATTAATTTTTTTATGCAACCTATTGACCATCACATTTAAATCTAGTATAGCAAATAGTAAAAATACTATGAAGAACCTGTAGAACAATCAGCGAAGAAATGGTCAAAGTCACCGAGCTCACTCGAAAAAGTCTCGTTCGTTTTTCCTGATAAGGCCACTGGCCGGCAAATGACAACATCCTTTTTGTAATGCTGTAGTAATCATTCCACACGAATGCCATAATTTTCAAAGCAATGTTTTACCTTTGGCAACACGCAATCTACTAAACTTCTCGTCTTATTTTCGTTGTGAGGAACGAATTAATATTTCAACAGCTGTAATAGAGAAAAATACTCTACATATGATGGAAACCTCCGTTAGCAATTTTACATGTCACGCCTAATAAAACGAACGTGACAGAGGAAGCTTGTCAACGGACGAGACATTTTTCTCCCATGCGGAAAATATCGATTAGAATATTCAAGGAAATAAGAATTCCTCTGACAAGATATGATTACGTATAGTTAGTTTCCAGATATAACTGCTATAGGTATGTACATTGTTATTCTGTGTCCAGTATCGCTACGAGACAAACGTTGGTAATAAGTTGTTCTTTTTAAATTATATTTCTATATAAAAATACATTAGAACAGTATACAAAATAGTATTCATTAATAAATTGAAATTGTTTCAAGTTATATGTATATATGTATATCTATATATATATATCTTCAAATTACACCTAATTCAGTAAATAGTGGCATCAGTTCGTAATGCTGAAAACATTGACATTAAAATCGATATGGATATACATGATCTGACAATAATGTTCCCGGACCATAACAATGAAAAAAAAGACAGACCTCTCCACGAATATTACGTTATATTTTATCTTTCAAAGTAGTTTTTCATGACATCAATACGTTTCATACATCTTTGTCGTTATACGGCGTCAACAAATTTTTATTGATTCCATATTTGGAGTGCTGTTTAGGGAACTCGTCACATTCTTCTGATGAATATACTCTAAGGCTTGGAAAAACAAACAATGGGCTACTAAACAGCTGTGAGCATCGTAAAGTATAACATGAAGGTTTGCAGAACCTTCAAAATAAGAGCATTATGTTTTGTTAGAGAAATACTATAACAAGCACACGATAATTCTGCGCTTATTGCCACAGTAAAACTTTTCAGATAGAAAACATAGATATCTTGCCGGCCCTTAAGAAACTCGAGTGTGTCTTCTTCATCACCACCATGATTAGCTTCTGTAATTACATATGACATGCCAGTATCGATAACGCGTGATTTTGGCTTGATATTAAATTGAATTTCATCAGTTAAGGATTTGAATCTGCTTGTTTTAGAAATATCGCTCTAACGACGTTATTACCATATATATATATATATATATATATATATATATGTGTATATTATACTTTAGATACACACACAAATATAATTAAGTTTATTAAAAATTTGTTATTTTGCTCAATAACTTCTTAAATAATATATTTTCTTTAAAATCGAACGAAAAGTGAACGTATTTCAATACTTGAAATGAATACGACTGTTTCTTACCCATTTCTACATTTTTGCTTATTTCTTATATAATTTGTGTGTAACTGCCGTGAAAATTTAATAGTATATATAAGTAACTCATTTATAATTAATTCGTTATATACATAATGTAAATATTATATCTACTGCGCGATTTCTATTACTATAATATAATATTACTAAAATATAATTGTGGTTGCATACTGTCCGAATTATATATTGACTGTTGATCATTGGAAGGATGCAAGTACGGTAAAATACGACATTGAAGACTGCATAATCTTTAAAATAAGAGAGTCAGTATATTCTTAAGAGAAACTTCGATGGAACGCGTAACAACATATGGTTCATAAATAATCTTTACCGTGGTGAAGCTCTTCAAGGAGAAGACATAAATCTTGCCGGCGCTTAAAAAACAGGGTTCCATGCATCTTCGCATCATGTGTAGAAGCAGTCTTTGTGATTCCACAGGTATTTCGTACCAGAAGGAATTGTATCTGGAACAACTTTGTATCTCAGTCATCAAAAAGAAATTTTTGATTTCACAAATGTAAATGTTTAAAATCGTACATTTTGTCTTGCAACTGCAAGCTGTGATTAATCAATCTCTGACCTTGCAGACTGAAGCAGAACGTTTGTAATACTTGAGTAAAGATATATATCATGTACTTCATCGTTTCCGCAATTTTATCAATCTGTAACGCAACCTTAAACGCGACAAATACGATACTTCAATCTCTTGATTTAGAAATTGTACAACAAGGATTTTGTTTTATAGCATGTGGTAAATGATTTTCGATAATATCCGAATTATTATAAAGTTCCATTGCTTTAAGTATTTTCAAAAATGACCCAAGAGCACAATTTTTTTATTTTTCACCTGATTTTTCTCGAAAGTGTGTGAGAGACATGCGTTTTTCTAAATATAGTTTTATAATTAATGGGAAAAGCTTATCAGAATTAGACATCAAGAAACATGAAAAAAAAAATATTGCATAGTGCTGTTAACCGTATGACTATATAATTAATGCAACGTTAATGACAAGTAACGTCGCACGAAATATTCAAATACTCATTTGAATCAAACAGACATACTTGTAGCAGAGTAATGCTCAGTGTTACAACATATATCAACATTTGTACTGCGAAAGCAGTGCAAAATATGTCTTCAAGAATCTTCGCGAATCTGTTCAATGAAAACAAACTTTATGGTATCTATATCGATATACCTTCTTATATTCTTTTATATGTTTAGTATATGTCCTATTTAATACAATATTGTGCATTTACTGTAAAGCTCGCCAATGTGCATGAACGGATTTCGTAATTTTTTGATCGTAGATCTTCCGATCATCTGCATCTGGACGATCATTCGCATTGTCACGATCATTATGTGATAAAGTTTCAAGACGAAATCTGTAAACATTTAAGCGACAATTCCGCTCTCCCGATAATAATTTAAATGTCACGCTTAACAGAAGACGAACGTGAAAGGAATCTTATTAACGGACAGAGCAATTTCTTCCGCGTAGTATATATCGATTGGAATATTCAAGGAAATAAGAATTTCTCTACCAAGCTGTATGCACTTAGTTGCGTGTACTCAGTTGCTAGATGTAAATATATATCTGTCAGATGTACAAGTAGTTTCCTGTACAATGTTATTCTATGTTCAGTATCGCTACAAGGGTCGGTAGTAAATAAGTTCTATTTTTTAAGTCTTTTTATATAGTATAATACATTAGTATATATACTGTATAAAATTATAGTTTGTTACTAAAATTTGAAACTAGATGGAAACATTTGATAGCAATAAAGAAACACAGACCTGTGTGTTGTCCGAATATTATATTATATTTTATCTTTCAAATCCTTCATAACATTGACACACTTCACACAATTTTGATATAGTATATAAATGGTCTAAACATTTTTTTAATTCCGTACTTGGCATGTATTTAGAGCACTCGTCACATTTCTCTGAACGTCTTCAAAGTCTTAAAAATATTTAATTTTTATGATGATTTTGAGCCTTCGGAACAGTATAAAATCGAAAAAAGATCCGACGATTAAAATAAATGGCTAATTTAATAATCTCAACAATTTTTTTATTGTTAGTTAAGTAATTGCATAACAAGGAAGGGATTATTAAGATTGTCTACTTATCTTATAATCATATCTGGCTTTTTCGGATTTAATGCTGTTCTCAGAAGTATAATAAAAAGTAAACATTTTTTAAATGACGAGAACATTCAGAGGAAGTAATGTTCTGAATAGCATTTCAATTACGGACTTTAAAAAGTTTTATACATATACTAAAGATATTCATTGATATGATGGACTACTTTTTGAAAGATAAAATATAACAATTTAATATCTATTGTAAAACATGTCTTTTCTATCGCTGTAGTTTAAGGTTTGTAAACTCTAAGATCATATACAACTTTGTTAAAAAATATTAGACATTTTATTAACCATTATTCAAAATTTTAGCTAAAGAATCTATTTATATGGCATCTTGTAAATCGGTAATAACTATTAAATAGTAATGCAGGTAAAGAATCCAAATAAATGAAAAAAATATAAATGCTTAGAATATTTTTGGCCAAGCTGTATATATGTATATTTATGGTATTCTTTATTCACATTAAATAAATATATATAAGATACACTTAACAAGAGCTAATTTTGAGTATAATTTTAATAAAGAATTGATAAACTATAGAATTAAAAGTGTATAATTGTAATAGGACAATTAAAGACACATGGTATTGTTTTCTCGACGAGTGCCACCATGTAATATCGTCGGATGCACAAACAATGGGTTATTAAATGGATGCAAGCACCGTGAAGTATGACATCGAAGTTTGTAGAACCTTCATCAAAATAAGAGCATTCTCGTTAAAGTGCATAACAAACACACGATAATTTGGCGTGTATTACCATAGTAAAGCTCTCTAGGGATAAAATGTAGATCTTGCCGGCGCTCAAGAAACTTGGTCGTACACTTTTCATCATCACCATCACGATTAGTTTTTGCGATTTCATGGATACTTCGTACCAGGTGCTGCTGTATCTGTCACGTTTCGAAAAAGTTTTGAATGCAAAATATCATAAAAATTCTATTTTCTTTTTTTTTAAGTATTTCAAATCACTTACATCTTATCGCACATCTGAATACTGTGATCTATTAGCTTCTGTCCTTCGAAACTGAGACAGAATAGATGGAACAGTTGAGCGATAACGTACAACACGTATTTTATTGATATTAAAATATCGCCTTCCTGCTGCGTAAACTTTAATAAGAGAAAACATATTTTAAATAACTTTTATACTTTCTAAATTTTTTAGGATGGAATCTTATTCCACAAAGTGAAGGTCAAATCAGTTTTAAGAAACAATGGTTTAATTTTGAATCTTTAAGAATGAGATTTTACTCTTCAGAGTGAGATTCAATCTGAGAATTTTAAAAAGTATGGAAGCAATTTTATTATAAATAAATACGTACTTGCAGCAAAGTAACACTTAATCCTATCGTTACTACAATTATTTGCGCTGCGAAAGGTATAGTGAAGATATGTTCAATAAGTTCTACAAACCTGTAGTAAACGAGTAAAGTAAACGAAAAAGGAGTCTTCGCAAAAATCATTTTATTTTTAAATAAAATATATATTTTGTATTTTTTTCATATGTGACGTTAATACACTTACTTTAAAGCATCTCGATGTTTGTGTACAAAGAATGCAATTTTTTCGCGATAATTATCATTAGAATTGTTCGTAATCTTCATTGTTTCGTCACTTTTATTAAATAGATTTTCAAAATAGTATCTGTAAACAGTTTGTACAATTCCTTTCTCTCTCTTCGTCTCTTTTGATTTTATTGACATTCCGGATAAATTGTAAAAGTATTTTAATACTAGATTGTGGTGCAAAGGAATTGAATCATATTTGTCAAATAAAGTCGAAAGTAAAATTTCAATAAAAATTGCCGCAGATTTTAGTACATTCTTTTTTTAATCTATAGACAAATATTTTAATTCCTCTCTTTTTTCAAAGAACTTTAATTTTATTACTTTATACATAAAATACAAACACAAAATAAATATTTGAATATATTCAGGTATCGAATTATTTTAAATAATTTTTTTCACATCAAGTCGAATCTTCTTACCCAACCAAAGTAAATATGCTGCAAACGTGCTCGACGAAAGTTACAAATATACAATCATGGGCGATTATTCCGGCCACAGTGATTTCCCAAGCAATGATTGAGTGCCAGAAGATGTTAAAGAAATATTCCCGAAGTTCTACGAAATAGTATCCTGGGTACGGGGGTGTTATGGGACGGGATTCATTAAGGGGCCACACAGTGTCGAGTACGAGTGGCACAAAAGACAATGACATAAACGCAGCTACTGTCGACATACAATATACTGCAATGCACAAAGTAGAGATCATGCTTTTTGAACGTATATTGAAGATATACGTAAAAAAGAGATCACTAGTACAAAGCAATTTGAGAAAAAAAACACATAACTTTTGGAAATAAAACAATATAGAGCATCCTTCTCATCGGTTCTCACCCGCATATACCAGACAAAATCGTCTACTGTTCTGTGCGTATATTTTCAAAATCTTGTATTCTTCGGGAGTTTTCAATTCCTTCCAATCAAGGAATATGTGTTGAGTAAGGCTTTCAATCTGACAAAGCATATTATCCATTTTAAATAAAATAGCGTTTATAGAAGTATAATAAACGTATATAAAAATTAAGAAAATATTGCACTTTTTTTTTCTTAAACCGATACTTCAAAAATCGAACATATCGAAATACTTATAATTGCTTAATTATAGATTATACCGTGCGAATATTTAATTGCAACGTGTACACCTTTAGCAAAGAGGAACATGTCAGCAGATACGATGTCATCGCCTCAAAAATACAATGCACATTTGTTTTGCACATAAATTGATAAGCAAACTAAAATCATTGTCGTTTATCATTCTTACGATGGATACTTTTTTCGAGCATTACATCAATTTACCTGCGGAACGAGTACAGTCAGTATGACTATAGTCATTACAGCAACGCGAAATATCCTTGCTCTCGGTTTCAGATACGGCCACGTACCTGTGAGCGATAATATTTTATAGACAATATTATAATGATGTCTCCAGGTCTCCATAATTCTTAAAAGAAAAAAAAAAAAAAAACGATATCACGTTTTCGACAGCTAATTTCGAACTTTCGTACGACTGATCGCTCACCCTCTGATGTCAGATACCAATTAAAATGATATCCCCTTGCGACAAAACTGCTATACATAGTCGATTCTCACGATATAACTTCGTTGCATGTCATGTCAATCAACAACTGGACATAGAATTTATGGGAACAGGTGGTATTTGATTCTTTAACATTAACTATAATGTAGCCCCTCAATAACGAGCTCGTTTTGCAAGTTCCCTCCAGGTAGGACGTATCGATGAGAATGAAATAATGCGATGAAATGAGCATTCTCTATTGACAGAGTCCCTTGTAAGTGTCGTAAGTGTTCGAGGTCTCCGGAAGAGATCGGAAGGGAAAGCTTTTTGGTCGCTTAGTAATATCGATATCAAAATAAAATTTTATTACTTCTGCTTCGTTACATAATAGCAAGTATAATCATTATTTTTTCAATTATTTACTCCACATTATTTTACTCGCTGTATCATTTGTAATATTACACTCCTGTGGAACATTTCAGGGATATTTTACTACATACTGCCATAATCGCTGGATATCGATCATGACACGTCAAACGACGATAGTAACGTAAAGTATGACATCGAACTTTGCACGACCTAAATGAAAATAAGGTTTTATATTTCTTTCTGATTTGCATTTTTATATTTGTATAGCGTTTGTCATGTTAATTTTACCGTCGTGAAATTTTCTAGAGAAAACACATACATCTTGCCAGCGGACAAGACACTAGCCTCGATACTTTTTCTCATCACAAACATAAGCAGTCTTTGTTCCTGCATGGGTATAGTATACCACGAACCATGATATCTATAAAATTAGCATTATACATACAAAATAAACACAATAGAAAAGTTCATTGATTACAAACAAGTGATTAAATTCTTGTAAAAGTGTTCACAAAAAATATGTCCTTTATGTCGATCAATTTATTTTCCACACTTAATACTGTCTCTTACATTTTCTCGCGAGTTTCGAGACTATGATCTATCACTTTTTGTCCTTGGAAGCTGAAGCAAAACAAGTGAAACAATTGACCAAAAATGAAAAGGAAGTACCTCATCGCTTCCGCTAAATCTTGCAGTTGTATCGAAAGCTTTAACGTGAGAAAATAAAGTCTTGTTTTAATCCTTTGTCATATTATAGAATTCTCGTATTTGCTATCTATTATTGTTAAGTCACTCACTTGTACTAAAGTAATACTCAAACCAATTGTAACAAACAGAAGTTGCACAGCAAACGATATCGTAAAAGTATTCTCAAGAAATTGAGCGAATCTATGATAAGGATATAATAATGATGGCTAAATATATCTAAATAAAAATCAAACAAAAGTAAATATATCTAAATAAAAATCAAACAAAAGCATCGCAACTTATCGTGACCCAGTGAGAAATGACAATGGAATGGACATCGAATCGATATCAATTCGACGTCGAAATCATTAAATCGACGTCGAATTGACATCGATTCGATGTCCATTCCATTGTTATTTCTCACTGGGGATTTAGCAAAGATCATTTATTAATTAACGTCGATCGGCTGCGTTCAGCAGAAAAATTGTAGCTTTGCGAATGATATAACATTTTTTAATATGATTGATTTATACATTTAGTTTCAGAAAGAAATTAAAAGCAAGATCAATCATATTAATGAATTTTGCAACGAATAGTTGCAAAGCTGCTTCTGTTGAATGCAGTCAATGAGAGGAGTATACACATGTGCTATGATCGTTACACACTCACTGCAAAGCCTTTCGATGAGCGTAAATCGATATCACAATATTTTTGTGATACATAGAATCTGAATAATTCATCATATTTTTTTCCATAGTTTTACGTTTATGTGACACGTGCTCAAATCTGAATCTGTAAGTTTTTACGCAAAACATTGTTATAAGAGTTTTTGCAAATTAATTTTTGTCTCGATCTTCCAAGCGAATACAAGAGCTAAAAACTATCATTATATGTTATATTTACTTTTAGATACAGAGAATTTTATTTGTTTTCTAATTATAAGAGAAATGTGATCTCGCTTTCAGTAAAAATAATCATTACCCAACGACAGCGAAAAGACCGCAGATGTGTTCGACGTAAACAAAAAACATGCTATCGTGGGCGACTATTCCGGTCATACATATACTACAGGCAAGTAACATATGGAGAAAAATATAGTAGAAATATTTATTTTCATCAACAAAATAGTACGCCGGATATGGTAGCATTATAGGGCGGGAAGTATTCAATGGTAATACTACATCCAAGACACGTGGCACGAGAGAGGTTGTTGTAAATATAATGGTAGACACGTAAACAAATGCTGCAACAAGGACAAAATTTGTAAAAACGAATGTCTATTAAAATTACTTTTTAATTAAAAATTTTGTCGCCAAAATGTTTTATTTTTATAAGAGCTTCTATATTTCTTCGTCAGAATTTTTCTCTCTTAAAATTCTTATTTAATCTTATGTGTTTAATTTTTTTTTATTAAATATTTGACAGAAAAGTTTGACAGAATGTCTTTATTTTTCTTAACAAAATAAAATTGTATTACTAAGTTTTTTTTCTCAATTTGGAGATTTTCTGTAGAAAAAAGTTTCTTTCTTGTACAACTTTTCTTAAAAAATTTAATGTAAGTTAAATTTTATTAATATCTTTCCTGCAACTGGTTTAAAAAATATTTCTTGACTTTTATTTAATTATAAACAATATTTTTAAAAACGTATAATTTTATTTTAATTTTTTAATTACACAAGAAAGTAAATTTCGTAGATTGATTCTCAACTAAAATTAGCTATTACTTACAGCCATATATCAGCGAGTACCATCTGCCTTTCTCGGCATACTTTCTCATAATATCGTGTTCTTCTTTAGTTTCGAGCATATCCCAGTCTACGAATAAGTGATCTGTGAGGTCTTTAATCTAAAAACATCAGCGATATATGTTCGATATTTTGAATATAATATTCTAAATTTAAAAAAATTATAACAATGTCGTTAATAATAGTATCTAAGGTATTACAACGTAGCTATTTTGTTGTAGCTTCACAAGTAGAATACCAATGATATTTAATAAAACGTACTTTTTGACTGTTAAAATGGTATGTTAAAATTTTTACTAAAATTATTACTCCTAGCATATATGGAGGTAAAGTTTCGTAGATACACTGCGCGCTTTTGCACACGCCAAATCTTGCCCCCTGAAAACAAATTCAAGTGAAGAAAAAACAAAGTTATTTTATACAGAATTATTATAATACTTCAATTATGTACTTATTGCAATCATTTTGTTAATTGTAACTTTAAAAGTGAGAAAAATGCATAAAGAAAATTCTTGCAAATTTTATTAAAATGTGAGTACTTTGTAATCAAACAATATTATCAACAGAATAGATTACAAGTAGTAAAGTATATTGAAAACCTCCCTAGTATTCCGATAATCAATAAAAAATGTTGAAAATAATTATGCCTCTAGAAAATAAAACAAGCATATAACAGCAGTCGAATTGAAATAATTCTAACCTAGATTTAACTCTACTCTGAGATAGAAATTTTCGTTGTATTTTACAATTGTATTTATCCAATGAAAATATTGTTTTCTTGGAAAATATTTCTATTTTAATATATTTTGCAAAAATTTTTATTATGTGTTTATTTCTGACGTTACTAATCTAAAGATTTATGATGAGCGATTTGGAATTTTAACAAATGCAAAATTCTAACGAACATTTTTGCTTTCCTAAAAGTATTTTTATCAACAATTAATAGTACCTGTGGAATGAGTGAAGTGGTTGCAAGTATCATTATAAATGTAAAGTAAATAAGTTTCTCTTTCGGCTTCTGATAAGGCCACTGGCCAACTAACATGAGGTACCTTTTACTGATATCGTAATAGTAACTCCTCCTGGTTCTCATACTTCATAAATGGTCCTCTCGGCACTACAACGTCGTTTGAATTTTAAAACTTCTCTCGGGAAGTATTTTTCTGCAATAAGGATCGGTTATAAGTAAATTAATATTTCAGATCCTCTTCGCGTCACGCATGTTCTCTTCCCATTGTAAGGGGGTACGATTTTAAAACGATCACGTGGGTCTTCTTAACTGACAGGCACTTTCGCTAAGTATATGTTTCATGTAAATATAACAGGTATTAATAGTAGGTGCAAGTGAACAGCTGACCCTTTCAGAAATATGGTTGAAATTACGAGTGTACACGAGACTGGAACATACAATAGACATTTGAAATCACATTGAATTGTATCAAATAGTTTCCTTTCAGACGATACATGTATTTACCTGCGGAACTATACTTGCCAGGACAACGCAAAATGTCTTTATTTTCAGTTTGCGATACAGTCACGTATCGGTAAGCGATGATACTATAGACGATGCTATAACGATTGCTGTCGGTCTCCATAACACTTAATAATTATAGAACCAGTGTAGTACCTTCGATAAGAATGCAAAGACAACTAATATTTCATACTTTTTTATTTTAGAATTAGTGTTTATCTCTCTTTCCTTGGATACAAAATATAAGTAAAAAAAAAACCTTTTTGGAAAGTAATATAGACAAAAATAACTCTTGTCATACAACTTTGTGGATATCGCGCAACATTTTTCCATCCAACTAATGGATTTTATATATATGGACATAGGTCCATAATATAATATATGTTCCTTTGACAATATAAGGTATAGCTCCATTAATAAACGGCTTGTTTTTCAAGTTCCCGTCGGAAAGCACGTATCGATAAAAATAAAATGGTATTACAAAATGAGTACTTTCCATTGGATAGCTTTTGCATATTTCTGTGTAAATCGTAAATATTCTAAGCTTTCGAGGAAGATCGATAGGGAAAACTTTCTGGTTATTCCGGAATTACCGATAGAGAAATAAAATTGTATTACTTTTATTTTATTAAATAATAACAAATATAAACTTTATTTTATTCATTGTACAATTTGTAATATTATATTCCCGTGGAATACTTCAAGGATATTTTACTACATACATGCTGTCATATAATCATCGGGTATCGATCATGACATGTCAAAGGATGACAATAACGTGAAGTATGACACCGAACTTTGCACGACCTAAATGAAAATAAGATTGTGTATATCTTTTTGATTTGCATATTTTTTACGACGCTTTTTATTCGTTATATTCGTTGTTTTACCGCTGTAAAATTTTCTAGAGAAAATGTGTATATCTTTCCGGCGGTTAGAACACTAGCGTCGATACTTTTTCTCATCACAAACAAGAGCAGTTTTTGTTCCTTCGCCGGTATTGTAAACCACGAACCTCGAAATCTATAAAATTGTACTACCATTATTACTATTATATACATACACACAAAATAAGAAATAAGAATATAATTCATATATCGACTTCAAGAAAAGATTAAATTTTTCTAAATATTTTTTTATGATTGATAATAATCACACAAACAGTTAATTCATTTATTATTTGAACTGGGAATAGTCACCTACTTTTTAAGTAAATAATTATAGTTTTTTTATATTTTAATAAAAACTATCATTATTAACTATATATTGTATATTACTGATTATTTTCTATTTAGTAATTGAAACGATTATAAATATGAATACGTAATCAACATTCTAAAAATATAAATAGAAAAAAAACAAATATTAAACAGTAAGTACGTTAAATAGCTTATTATGAATTTATTTCTAAAAATGAAGTTAATTTTAATTAATAAAACTATTTTTTGTTGCAGATTTTCATAGGAATTTCATATTTAAAGATTCGTGAAGAATAGACGACACTATAAAAGATGTTATAAATATGTTAAATAATATCTTTAAAAGCCAACAAATCATAATTTTTTATCATAGAGTATAAAAATACTCCACGTAAGTATCTTTAAGTTAATATTGTCTCTTACATCTTGTCACAAGTTTCGAGGCTATGACTTATCAGCTTTTGTCCTTCAAAGCTTAAGCATAACAAGTGAAACAATTGAGCAATAATGAAGACGAAATATCTCATTGCTTCCGCTAAGTCGTGCAATTGCATCGACAGCTTGAATACAATATAAAATCTTGTTTTAATGTTTTACTACATTACAGAATTCAGGTATTTGTATATGTTGTATACGTACTCACTTGTACTAAGGTAATGCTCAAGCCAATTGTAATGATTAGGAGTTGCACAGCGAACCATATCGAAAAGGTATCTTCGAGAAGTCTTGCAAATCTAAAGTAAAAATACGATACTAATGACAACTAAAAGGCTGCGTTCCGAAATATAGCGTCATTCTATGTTTATAATTCATTGGAAAATAAGAAAATGCGTAAAATAAGGATAAATGTGCTATAATATTATATTATTACATACTCACTGTAAAGCTTTTCGATGAGCGTGAATCGAAAAAACAACGTTTCTGTGATACTCGGCATCCTGCAGACAATCGAGCAGACTTTTTTCCATATTACTACGTTTATGTGACACATGCTCAAATCTAAATCTGCAAATATTCCCGCCGCAAAACATTATTAGACAGCTTTTAAGAATTACCTTCTGCTTTCTTCCAAGTGAACGTACAAAAGCTAGAACTATTATTACGTTATATTTACTTCTCTCGGTACAGAGAATTCTATTTATCTCCTAATTAGAAGAGACGTGATCTTCCTTTCGGTATAAACAATCATTACCCAACGACGGCGAAAAGGCCACAGATGTGTTCGACGTAAACAAAAAACATGCTATCGTGCGCGATTAATCCAGTCATACACACGCTGCTGGTAACTAACATATGGAGAAAAATATAGTAGAAATACTGATTTTCGTCAACGAAATAGTATGCTGGATACGCTAACATTATAGGACGGGAAGTATTCAATGGAAATACAATATCCAAAACGCGTGGCACGAGAGAGGTTGTTGTAAATGAAACGGTAGACACGTAAACATATGCTGCAACAAAGACAATATTTATCAAAATGTTTTTATGTTAAAGAATTATTTTTTTAATTAAAAATTATGGTAAATATTTCAAGAAGGTCAAATAAATATTTGACCTTCTTGAGGGTCAAGGTCAAGGTCAAGGTCACTCGGAAGTCATTTGAGGCTGACTGTGTAATTCGAAATATTTACCAAAATTATTATTTTGAAAATATTTTATTTTTATAAATATGTGTATTCATCAGAACTTTTCCTTCTTAATCAATATCTGTTCGATACATTTATTTTACGTGTATTTCCTTTTTCAAGTAAAATGTTTTACAGAATTTCTCAATATCTTTCATCGTAACAGAATAAAATTGTACATTCAAAGATTTTTAATTCTCACACTAACTACTATAATTTTCTCTAGAAAATAACAGTTATTTTCTGTGCAATAAACGTCTTTGATATAAATGTTTGGTAAAGTTATATTGATATCTTCTTTATAATTTCCTCGTAATATTTTAATTAACTTAATTTTAATTAACTTAATGTTTTTAATTAATTTAAACACTATATCTAAGTGTCAATTTTATATTTATTCTTTAATAGCACAAGAAAATGAATGTTTCTTTCATTTCTTAATTAAAATCAAGTAATTACAATACATACAGCCGTATATAAGCGCGTACCATCTGCCGTTTTGAGCGTACTTTCTCATAATGTTGTGTTCTTCTTTAGTTTCAAGCATATCCCAGTCTACGAATAAGCGATCTGTGAGATCTCTAATCTACAAACATCACCGATATACTTGATACCGCAGATGCAATATTTTCAACAAATATGTAAAATTTTGTCAAAAGGCCTCTTTGCAATAGCTATTCATATCTGTGGCTTAAAATTAGAAATCGACACCATTCATATTAACTGAACGTACTTTTCGACTGTTAAACTGAAACGTGAAAATTTTCACCAGAATCATCACTGTCAGCATATGTGGTGGTAAAGTTTCATAAATACACTGCGCGCTATCACATATGACAAAGTTTGCTATCTGAAAAATGCGATTATATTCATTTGTAATTTTAACTGACAAAGAGATTATTCAAATCGACGCAAAATATTAAAAACTCCTGTTACATTAATTTCTTTCTTTCTTGAAATAGAGATATCGATTAATGTTTTCGTTACCTGTGTGACGAGTGCAGAAGCATCGAGAAAGAGTACAAAAATCAAGAAAGACAAACTCTCTTTCAACTTTTGATAAGGCCACTGGCCGACTAACATCAGATACCACTTACTGATATCGTAATAGTAATCTCTACTATGTTCCATACTTCCCAAAGAAATGATTACAGTGTCATGAATTTCGAGGCTTCTCTTGAGAGTTCTTTTTTTTATGATAAGTGTCGGTTATAAATAAATAAACATTTTAGATGCTCTTCTATACATTCATGTTCTTTCCATGATCCCACAATTACATAACGCAGGCAACAGGCACTTACAATAAGTATACATCTTACAGAAATATAACATAAGTACCAATGATAGGCGTGAGTGGACAGCGTTTGATAGCTGACTTCGAGAAATTCTCTACTATCTGAATTACTAGGGTACGAATACGAATGGAGAGTACGATAAGTATCTTATAACTCCTATTGAATAGTCAATAATCTACTATCCGTAACAGTTTTTCATTGAACGATGATATTATTGCATAAACTTTGGCGAGTGTAGTTTTATTTACACGGAGAAAATTTTATATTTAAAATTACTATAATATGGTAGAAACTGCGGACCATCGTGCAATTATAAGTTTAAATGCTATAACCATTTTTTTTAAACAATAATGTGAAGTAATATTTACACTTTTTCATAGAAACATCACATTTTTATAATATTACAAAATCACACTTGTTGAATAAAAGTTAGTATTTTATAAAGATAAAATATATATATAAATAACTTAGCAAATATTATTTGCGTATCATAGTAAAAA